ACAACGACCACATCGCGCACGATTGCCCACCAATGCAATCGTATGCTTGCACGCAAAGCACTCAGCATCGGGTGCTGGAAAGTGCGCACACTACTGGGCCGGAACTACAGTGAGCGCCCCGAGCGACGTACTGCACTGGTCGCGATGTAGCTGGCACGTTACCACATCAATATTGCGGCACTCAGTGAAACCCGGCTCGCTGAGCAAGGTAAGTTGCATGAAGCGGATACTGGCTACACGTTCTACTTGGTGGGCAACGCCGCCTCAGCACCATGTGATCATGGGGTCGGATTAACAATATCCGATCGCCTCCATGGCCAGCTGGTGGGTGAACCAACAGGCACCAACGCACGACTGATGACTGTTCGCCTACGACTCGGAAGAGGTAAGTTTGCCACTTTTATGAGCACGTACGATCCGACCATGTGTTATCCTGATGACACGCGTGATCACTGCTAAACTCAGCTATCTGCGCTGGTCTGTGCCGAGGAGCGACCGACTATTTCTGCTGGATGATTTCCACGCGCGCATTGTGCGTGATGCATCGGTATGGACAGATGTTATCGGTCCGCAGGGCATTGGTTAAGCGAATGCGAACGGCGACAGGTTGCTCTCACTGTTTGCCACTCACGGCCTGACGATCACAAACACTCGGTTTGCACTGAGTGCGAATGATATAGCAAGTTGGACGCACCCACGGAGTGGTCACGATTACCTGCTCGAATACGTCATCGTACGTCAGCGTGATATGCGTGAAGTGCGCATGACATGTGCACTGCGTGGAGCTGAGTGTGGCACTGATCACAAATTGGTGCGGACCAAACTGTACATATATTTTCGTAAATCTATGTATTGCACTCCCGCCGTGAATCGACGTAAATTTAACATTTTCTCTCTTGTTACTGTGGCGAAACGTACTGAGCTGGAGAAAGCGATGGCTGCACGCCTGTGTGATGTGGACTGCATAGCCACAGTGGGCGACCTGTGGCAACACATTCACGGCCAGGTGACAGCTGCTGCAGCGGAGACCATCGGGCGCGCAAACTGCAAGCGGCCTGATTGGTTTGATGAGAACAATGCGACGATCGGCGCATTGGTGTCGGAGAAGAATGAAGCATTTGCTGCACATGTGGCAGACCCCAGTGACTTGAGGAAGAGTAGTAAGTTTCGCAAACTACGAAGACGACTGACCCGAGAGCTCCGTCGCATTAAAATTGCATGGCGGTCGGAGAGAGCGCGACGGATAAAATGCTACTCAGAACATCGAAAACACAAGGAATTCTTTAACTCCTTGAATGCGGTGTATGTACCGAGATTTGAGCCGCTGAGGACGCTGATCGATGGTAGTTCAGGCACTACCTGCACACAGACTGCAGACATAATACAGATCTGGCGAAATCACTTTGACTGTCTCTTGAACAACCGTTCAGAGATCGACAGACCTACATTGAATGGCCTCAAGCAGCACCATGCGAAGATGAGTCTGGCGGAAACACCGACACTGGATGAGACGCAGAGAGAATTTGCTCAGCTGCGAAACGAAGTGCCACTGCCGACGGGATCCCGCCGGAAATATTGAAACACGACGGATCAGGGTTGTTGACTGCGCTGCACCACTTGGTGCAACGCGTATGGATTGAGGAGGAGGTGTCTCCTGACCTGAAGGATGCCTTTGTGCTACCATTGTACAAAGGCAAATGCGGCAAGCAATGTTGCGCGAATTATCGTGGCATCAACTTGCTGAGTTGTGTGGGCAAGGTGATTGCGCGAATCCGGCTCAGCCGCTTCGTCAGTCAGGTTGTAGAATTTAACGTGGCGAAAGAACAGTGTGGATTCCGCTCGGGTCGCAGCACTATGCATATGGTGGAGAGAACGACACCAGCCGTTGTACTCACCTTTTGTTGGTTTCACCAAGGTATTTGATGTGGTGAAACGCGAGGCATTGTGGCTGGTGTTGGATAAGTTTGGTTGCCCGCGTAAGTTTGTAAGTTTAATTGAATGTCCGCACAGTGGTATGCGGGCGAGGGTGCAGCTGAGTGGAGAGGCCTCGGAGAAGTTTGCAGTTGTTAATGGTGTGAAGCAATGTAGGTACGCTGCATTCGATTTACTAAGCGCTTGCGTGCATTCTGGGTCTCTTTGTTTCATTATTGTCTACGTGAACTAAATTCGAATAACTTGCACACGTCGCTCAAGGTAATTCTAGTTAACCTCGATGATATATTCGCGCTCGCAACATTTTCCTAAATGACATTTTTTGACTTCTTGAAACTAGCGGATACTTTGGCAACCAACTTATTTCAAATACTCATTTATTGAAGTGCTATGTCGGCATATCTGTATGCATTAATCGATTTATTGCAATTGTTATTGTCGCCTCAAGTGACTGGCTGCTGTTTGATAGCTATGGTGTGGCTGCACTTGATGTGCATAGTGTCAAGGTGCTCACCTGTCTATTATCCACTACCTCTTCCATACTGGCTAAAGGGGACAGTTGGTCGTTGCTGGAGGGGACGGGGTGCACGATCCTTGTGGTCATGCTAGGCTCAAAGAGTGGCTCCATGCACTCAGTGGGGAGCGAATTATGGGTGTGCGCTTGATTCCCAAATACAGCGTGCTTGTGTTTGCCTGTGAAGGAGTGTGGGCCGGCTCCGTTGATGAAGCGTGGCGCCCATCCATATGCCTCCCGGTCTTATTCCTTCGGGTTTACACTGGATATGGGGTGTGTATTTGGAGTTGTGGGTGGTGCAGCGCAAGCCATCCATGGTCACCTTCGTAGGCACAGGCTTCCTGTAGCTGGCCACAGTGTCAGGTAAATTCGAAACCGGATGCCGCCTTTGATAGATATATATATATATATGTATACGTATATATATATGTATATGTATATATATATTTTTATATATGTTTGCAGCAGTCTATGAATCGACATTGCACCATCGGAAACCATGGAACTCAAAACAAGGTACAGAAATAGTAAAAGAAAACATAACACAACACAACAATGTCCACGGTTTCGTCAGAGGGCGAAATACTACCCGGTTGCCCAAGCCGAAGTAGGGTGTTGACTTAGGGGACACCACCCCGAGCCTTTGGCTGAATAGCCTGTCCGCAAGGCAGCGGAGCGAATTCAGGGAATTGCGCCCATTGGGAGCCGGTGACTGATTGCTCAGTTCATACGGCTTTCGTTTGTTCCTTTGCCAAACAGGGGCCCAATGCTCCCCGAAATTACAGCATCAACTTGCTGGAATACAATGCTTCGCCAGGATGAAGTGTATATATATGTATTGTATGGATGTACAGTGAGGCTATGTTTTGCACCCTCGAAGTACAAAGCTTTTCTACAACCTTGGCAGTGACCGCGTCCTTCGAGGGCCGTCGGTGGGGATCAGCTAGAATTCGTTCAAAATTTCAACTATCTAGTCAGTTGTAACAGCATCGTTGTAAGTGAAAACGAGGTCATCATACTTATAGCGAAAGCCCGAGGCGCTTTTCTTAGCCTTCGCTACTAATGGCGGTGGCGCGACATCACTCTTTCCTTAAAGGTTGATTGCACAATGCAGCCGTGCGTTCGACCAGACTGTACCGTTGAGAGACTTGGCCCATTAGATCAGCAGACATAAGAAGGCTAGTTGCGTTAGACACCGGTTCCTTCACAGTTTGTCTGATATCTGGTGGGAACACCGTGTGAGAGGCCCTTAATTAGACGTTGGCCTCGGCTGGAGTTTCTAGGACAATGGACACGTTTGGCTGGATAGACTTGTTGATATAGCTAGGAGCCGACCTCAATGGCATTTGTGTTGTGAAATTCTTTGTCTCTCTCCCGCTTAGCATCGTCTCCAAACACGCCCTCAGTTGTTAAAGACAATATAACTACCTTGCTGCACAATAGCCGGTTGGTAGCTCTGAGGGACGATGCTCATCCGTTGCTGGTGACGCAACAGGCGTGTCTCTGTTTCATATTTTTTCTCTTCTTTTCTATTACAACGCCATAGCTGAGGTGTTTTCCACCTGCATCAAACGTGTACAATGAAAAATGACGATGACATTTCAATAGAGATTGTATGTGTTAATCCTACAACACAGCGGCTATTCTAAATCCAATGTCGACTCGCAGAGACACTATCGACACCAGGTAGTTCTCAGAGATCAGATAGTTAGCCAATTGACTACTAACCGCCCATATTCCTCCCGCTGGAACGGTATAATGGACACTTTGTCTGCTCTGCCAGTAGCACATACACGCCAATAATTTGATTAGCCTTCCTCATTGAATAAATCAATATCCTTCGACACGGAGGATAACGGCATATGTGGGATATCACACACTACCAGTGACACGTACGGTTACGATGCAGATATTATTCGTTTGCGCAGTTGCTCTTCGGGCAGTGGCCTCTGGCGCACCGTGTGAACGACTTCCCCATTATGATCATCCATACAACCGGCCAGAGTTTAACCCACGTGAGGAATACACAAAATGGATCAAAGAAGAACAACAATCAACGCATTTTGATGGCACCTTGTTCATGTCATTCAGCATTTTTCAGGATGTCCAAATAACACAATTCAAATCTTACAGTCCTGTGAACGGTACTGTGTTAATGTCGTGCGATTACCAAGCTGCCGAGTATTTTGAATGCTGTGACTTGCGTACAAGTCGATATTATACCACATGTGATCATGTGCTCTTTTACGATATGGTGCAAAGCACCAGTAATCACAAACTGCTGCGGTATGAAGTGCGCACCGAACTATCTATAGTCGTGCACTTTCCGGTGGACGCTGTTCTCTTTGGTATAACTGACGCGGAACTTCATCGGCAGTTCGTAAACGATGCATTGATCTCAATCGTTGACACTGCAAACAGTATAATGGTGGTTAAACTGGTGTAGTTTCGTTATCCATCATGGCGTGCTCCTGCAATGCGGTTATTAAATATTAAATCGACTCGCAAAGCTGTGTATCGAGTTGGTGAAAATCTCCAGTTCTGAACTGCGCATATGAGGACATGTCGGAATTTAGAAAGGTGTGAAAAGAAGCTCCGATTGGAGGATACATCCTCGGAGCAAGATCGAATGAAGTGCAACTGGAAAAGTGGTGCGATGGAACTCACTAATCTGGAGCCGCACGATACCGGCATATACAATTGCAAGACGCAAAGTGGCGCTGTTGCACAGATCCTAGATTACGACCTATCTGTTCTTCCACACGAGGATAACATCACGGTGTTCCTCAGTGGGCAACACTGGCAACGCGACAGACTGAATGTGCCTGAGTATCCACATAAGGATGTGTTGAACAGGACCTATCTCCCAGGTAGCGTGTATGTCAACTGCCGGTTTGTGCTACCCACGGGATATGATAATTACACTGGGATTCACTTTGAGTACATATTCATCAACATGGAGACGCAGCTTCCATATCAGCGTGTGGACACATGGTATTCGCTTCAAGGTAGGAATAACATCACGTATCACATATATCGAATAGAAAAGCAGGACACCGCCGGTGTTGTGAACAAATTTAAACTCCAATGCTCATTTCAATAAGAACCAACGTTCCGGCTAACCCGCACACATCCAAAACTATCAAAGGAGCAAAAGACGGTGTCTAACTTCGTGACTGCATACACCAGCCTCCATGTGGAGCCGAAAATTGTTGCCTTCGCTATTCGCATGTCCTACGAAAATGTGACCGACGCTCTGAGAACAACCGATACCTTGTTTCCGAATTCTTCACCGTTCCGTTTGTTCCGATGCACCATGAGAGAAGTGGTGCTTTCAGGCAGTTTTCTTGCTCTGCACTGTGCAGAATCGTTCTGGTTCTCTGTGTGGATCGTCGACAGGACGAATAAGTTATTAGTATCTCAGAAATATTGTATAGTGAATCATAAAGCAGAGAGTGGAGCAAATTTGAACTTGATCGATTCATCGGAGGCGATTCGCTCGGAGACCATGACGGCTAGTTAGGTCTAGTGCAATTGCAGTATCCGACTGACAACGCTCTTAGGCTCCGTTTCCAACCACGATCTCATTTCTTAACCTAATGTTTTTTGCATAATAAATATATTTTGCTGCGTAGTTGCCGGCTGGTAGCTTTCTGGAACGGTGCCCATCCGTTACTGGTAGCTCAGCTGGCATGCATATGTTGTATATTTTTCCTTTTGTTCGCTTTCTGCGTTGCTGTACACTAAGTAAGAAGATTTTACCTCTAGCCATAGTGTAAAATAATTACGGTGGAAAAGATACTGCCACTGACTCACTGGCGTATAACAGTAAATTTGTCATACTTGAAAGATCCGCACGCCGGAATAGGCTGAGGCTTCATCGCGTGTAATGCATGCATTAAACTTCACCTAGAAAACACTTTTGTTAACTATATGGTGGCTTACATGCTAT